CTGGAGGTCCTCACGGGCAAAAAGTTGAACGTGAGTCAGCAGCGTGCCCTAGCAGTGATGACAGCTCACAGCATACTGGTATCAGTAAGAGCACAGCTGACAGACTGAAGGAAGTGATCGCTCCCGTTTATTTGGCACTTGTGAGACTGAATCTGGAGCACTGTGTCTGGTTTTGGGCTCACCAGTACAAGGAGGATACGCTGGACTGACATACTCGGACCAAGTTCAGCAGAGGACCTCCAAGATTCTGGGGGCTGGAGCACACACCCAGTGATGAGAGGTTGAGACAGCCAGACTTGTTTAGCCTGTAGAAGAGGAGTGCAACTGAGCTCACGTCTTCAACTATCTAATAAGTGAAGACAAAGCTACTTACAGAGGAATAAAGCTAGACTCTTCTCTGAAGTGCACAGCAAAAGGACTGGAAGGAATGGATATAAGCCACAACAAGAGAAACTCCATTCAGACATAAGGAAAAAATTCTATGGAATGAAGCGGTCAAAGACTGGAATAGGTGCCCAGAAAGGTTGTAAAACCTCCCTCCTTGGAGATGTTCAAAACTTGACGGGACAAGACCCTGGGCAACCTAATCTAACTTCAAAGTTGGCCCTGCTTTCAGTAGGGAACTGGACCAGATGACCTCCAGAAGTTCTAAGTTTTATTATTCAGTGATTCTAACTGAGGCACAGAGACAATAAATTACTTGAATTCTGCCTGTCTTCTTGATCCTGTTAACCCTCAGCTTGAAACTCAGCATCTCTGAGCCACTCATTCCATCCCTTAACTGCTGAGGAATCACCACGTGGCATTAGGGTTAGGTAGGTTTTCTGCTTTCTTGCACAAGTTAAATTATAAGTTAAAAAAATGCAGTGCTGCACTCGCATTATCCAATGGCACTGCAGGCTAATCAAAACATGCAAAGTCCAAGTCTGCAACCATGTCTGTTACTATTGTACCCAATGCTAAAAAAAAAAAAAAATAATAATCAATGTTTTCATTACTCACTAATGCATCACTTGCTCAAAGTCTCAGTCCAGCTCCTAGTGGACTGGATCACATCCCCAAAGCTTCAAAGCAGATGTTCGACAGCTTTTTCCACAGACGCTAAGGTGAAATGGCTAGAGAGCCTGAACTAATCTTGTTATTGTAGCTTTCAGTCTTCCTCCAGCAACGGGTTAAAGCAAAAACAGCAGACTCCAAAGCTGTCAGTTCTAGATTTTTATGAGCATTTATCTTTTTTGTATTACTATTAATGTAGTGCCTGAGTCAAGCACATACAATACCAGCATAGTAATAGCTTCAAATTATAGGTCCCTTTGCAAATCAATTCATACCAATACATTTTCTCATCTAAGACATTTAAACGTTTGAAACCTTTTGCATATGGAAGAGCAGCTGAGATCCCCAAGGAACAATCCCAACTGCTTTAACTTTCTGGAATATCACCACAGACAAAAAGTAAACAAAAATAATACTATCTATCTGAAGCATGAGGCAGCATAATCTGGACAGGCTGGAGAGCTGGGCGGAGAGGAACCTCATCAAGTTCAACAAAGGCAAGTGCAAGGTCCTGCACCTAGGCAGGAATAACCCCAGGCACCAGTACAGGCTGGGGGCTGACCTGCTGGAAAGTAGCTCTGCAGAGAAGGACCTGGGAGTGCTGGTGGACAACAAGTTAAACATGAGCCAGCAGTGTGCCCTTGTGGCCAAGAAGGCCAAAGGTCTCCTGGGGTGCATGAGGCAGAGTGTTGCCAGTAGGTCGAGGGAGGTGATCCTGCCCCTCTCCTCAGCCCTGGGGAGGCCTCACCTGGAGTACTGTGTCCGGTTCTGGGCTCCCCAGTACAAGAGAGACATGGCACTCCCGGAGAGAGTCCAGCGGAGGGCTACCAAGATGATTAGAGGGCTGGAGCACCTCTCCTATGAAGAAAGACTGCAAGAGCTGGGCCTGTTCAGCCTGGAGAAGAGAAGATTGAGAGGCGATCTCATCAACGTGTACAAGTATCTGAAGGGGGGGGTGTCGAGAGGATGAGGCCAGCCTCTTCTCCGTGGTGCCCAGCAACAGGGCAAGAGACAACGGGCAGAAACTGAACCACAGGAAGTTCCATCTGAACCTGAGAAAAAACTTCTTCACTGTGAGGGTGACAGAGCATTGGAACAGGTTGCCCAGAGAGGTAGTGGAGTCTCCTTCCCTGGAGATATTCAGAACCCGTCTGGATGTGATCCTGGGCAATATGCTGTAGAGGACTCTGCTTGAGCAGGGAGGTTGGACTAGATGATCTCCAGAGGTCCCTTCCAACCTTAACGATTCTGTGATAATATTCAGAAAAGTGTCTGTAACTATAATGGGAATCAGATAAGGCTAATAAGAAATTAGATCGACCAGAGACAAGACAAAGCATAAGAAGTTCGTATTTCTCTCTCTAACTTGGTAGATGATTCACTCCGAGTCCACAGTAGCAGCCAGGTCAAAGAGAGAGCCTGTTCCCCAACCTGACCCCCTCTTTCAATACTGCTGTAACACAAAACACCCTTCCAGCCTTTGCCTGAGACTATGAATAAGCAATTGGACAGCATAGACGTGAGACAGGACTGAGCTCAAGCTCATACTAGAAAGGCTCTTGTAGTCTACGTGGCCTTGAACAAGACCCTTTACAGCTTCTGTACCTCAGTTCTGTTATCTGCAAAATGCGGGCAATGAACCAGTATGAAACTTTGTACGTACACTGATCAGTATTATTCCACTAGCTCCAGCGGTGCTGAACAGGTTTGGAGGAGGCTGCCAGAACATCCCATTTCAACTTAACGACTACTGTCTCTTGTTCTCCTACTATGCACCCCACTAAAGAGCTTGGCTCCATCTTCTCAGTAACATTCTCTAAAGTAACATTCACTAGAAGGCTGCTATTAGGTCCCTGTAAGTTTTCTCTTCTTCAGGCAGAACAAACCCAGCCCTCTCGGTCCCTCTTCATAAGTCATGTGCTCCAGCCCCAGGATCCTGGTGGCCCTCCTTTGGCCTCACTCAAGTTTATCAACATCTTTCTTGCCCTGAGTGCTGCAAAGCTAGATGTGGTATTCCAGATGTGGTCTAACAAATGCTCAGTAAAGGAGAATAATCACTTCCCTCAATCTACTGGTCATACTCCTGTTGACACTGCCCAACATGCTATTTGCCGCCTTCATTGGTAGCACACTGCTGACTCACATTCAGCCCATCATCTAACAGGACCTTGGGTCCTTCTCAGCACAGCTACTACGCACCCAGTCAGTCCCAGCTTGTATCATAGCAAGGGTCAGTCCAACCCAGGTGCAGGACTTGGTGACTGTCCTTGTCGAATTTCACAAGATTTGCATCAACGCATTTCTTTAGGGTACTGATGTCCTCAGAAAGGCAGTCCTGCTCTCGAGTGCAGTCCCCAGCCCCGTTCAGTGCTATCCACAAACTTGATGAGGGCTCATGCTGTCTGCTCTTCCAGGCCACTGATAAAGATACTAGACAGACCTCTGACACACTACCACTTGTAACTGGCGTCCAGGAAGAGTACAAACCATTAACAGCTGCTCTTTGAGCCTGATGAGCCAACCAGATATTCACCCACCTAGTAGTCCACCCATCTAGATCTTAACATCCTAAACTGGAACCAAGGATGCTGCAGGAGACTGTATCAAAAGACTTGCTAAAGACAAGGTACTTGATATCCACGGCTTCCTCCTCATCCACAGTCACATCACAGTCATATCATTCCTGAGAATTCACAGCAGAACAAAATTCACGTTCCTAAATGAGAAATAATGCTACAAAAAAACATTCATAAAGAAAAAGTATTCAAATAGGTACTAATCCTACTGTATTTCCACTTAAGACAATGGGAATTGAAAATATACAGTGCCTTGGAGAACCCAGCCTCCACAAGTATTAGAAACATGGCAACAAGAATGGAAGGGTGTGCGTGTGTGTCTCCATCTATATATATGTACGTATATACAGGCAAAATATACAATATTCTAATGCTCAATTGGAAAATATCCAGAGAAGGAGACAAACTGACCCATTCACAAGTCACATGAGATGGAAAATTACACTCCGTTTCCAAGAGTGATACAGCAAGAAACAAAGGTCAATGAGGTGTGGCTTGTATGTCAACTTCTAGTCAGCAGCTGTGATGTTGTTCTACAGTAGTATAAGAAGAAATCTGTCCACAAATACAAGAATAGCCAGGGTGCCTACACTGTCAAATCAAAGCTTAATAACTCCTCTCCAGCTGAGACCAACAGCTGATGCTTAGAGTCTAAAAACAGGGCAAGTATACAGTGTTGCTGCCTTGAATACTCTCCCAGCCTACAGGAATTTGCAGCTTAGAGGATTCCAGAACTGGAAAACATAATGTCGCTAAATGACTTTGTCTCATTGAGTTTAAAATACAAAAATGTTTCATTTACAACTCCAACAATGTGTTCCATGCTTCAATGACATACTGCATGAAAAAATCTCCTTATTTTAAGCTTACCTCTTAATAATTTCATTTGGTGTCCCATAATTTTTGCTCCATGAGAGAGCAAATAATTTCTATTTAATGTGTCGTGCAATTTCGGATTTCAGAGAACTCTAACGCATGCTTTTAAGTGCGAAAAAGAAGCAACTAAAATCACGGTCTGTTTAGCTGTTTCTCAAAGGGAAGTAGTTTCATACTTGTGGATCACCTTTGCTGCTGTTCCAGATATCTTCTCTACTTCTGCTGCAGCAGGATCATAACTGCCCACAGTATTAAGCATGAAGCCATGGATTTTCACAGCGGCACAGAGAGGTTTTTATTTTCTTTCTTGATACTCTTCCTAATAACTCCTAGCATTCAGTTTTCTTTTTTCCCTTGCTCCTGACCAGCGAGCTGATGGTTTTCATGAGGCTATCTGAAATAACTTTGGGATCTCTTTCTTTAGTGAAAAATGCTCGTTCAGAGACCAACACTGCATGTATAAGGCTTGCTCACATCACCCATCTGCCTCACCTTATATTTATTGATGTTTCATTTTGGCTATGAGCCTTTCCACTGAGTCTCTCAACATTGCAAGGTCTGTCTACAGCTCTCTGCAGTTGGCATTCATGTCTGTGATCTCAAAATAACTGTGTCAACAGGCTTTCTCATCTCATTGTATGCCTCCTTTTCTAAATCATTTGCGAACACAGAACAGCATGCTAGAGACAGAGCTGGCAGCTGAAAGGCTTCCTCAGTATTCTTCAAAGTCCCTTCCTCTAGAGCAGAGACACTCCTCAGCAGCCCAGCGGAACGAAGGAGTCGGCTCTGCTTTGCAGGCACTTTGTGGAACATCTGTGGGCAGTGACTTCTAGCAGCCTGACACAGTGCTTCACAGGGAGGAGACATAGCCCAGCTGAAAAAAAATAAAATATAAAGCGCATGGCCACCACAGGTACATGGCTCCATTTCTTTTTTCTTTTTTCTTTTTTTAAAATAAAAAGAAATACAGGTTTTTCACAGTAACAACTGATACCAAAAATCATTCTTAAGGCCTGGAAATTATTGTAATAATTTGGTTTTACCATCCCATTTGTCCCAGTACAGGGGCACTTTGGAAATGAAAGAGTTAAACAGGAATGTTGGGGGCGTGGCATGGATTGATTAACCAGACTTTTCTGGAAGAGACACCGTCAGTGAGCAGTTCCCATTCAATATAGTAAAGTCACGTCAACTAACGAAGAACAAAACACCGTGCGTGTGACCACGCAAAGGGAAGGAGCACACTGAGGTGCAGGTGCTGGGCAGGGGGGCGAATGCACTAAGTCGAGCCGCCAGCATGACTCCAGCCAGGTCAAACCAAGCCGAGCTCCCAGGGTGACTCCAGCTGGGCCGGACTGCTGGGGTGACTGTCTGACATCCTCCCTCCCCCCATCCCCTCCATTTTATGCAGCCTATCTCATATTTTAGTTCTTGGCAAACCACAGCAGCCTGGGAAATACTTGTAGGTCTGGGTATTTAAGCCGGAGCAGCCTAGCAGGGATCACGCACCGATCGCCAGAGATGGACTTGCAGCATTACTGCTACTCAAGGAAGAAAACTGTTTCCTTAATAACCGTTTTACAGCATACCGACTGGGCTTTCTATAGCATTTCAGCATCCGGCTGAATCACAACAGCAAAGGCAAACATGTTATTCTCATATCCTTTTTTTTTTTTTTTTTTCCCCCAAGCCAAAATGACACATGGACTCTGTGACAAAATGAATGCTACAGAAGCCCAAAAATATCTGCACTGAATATAAATATATTATGAAATGGCTTTTAAACTCTGCCCTGAAGCACTTTCTGATTGGTTGCCAATGATGTCACATATCCCTCAAGCCCAATAAAATGCATGGGTTCACAAGTCTAATTTCTGTGTATAAACTCCCTGCAGCGAGAATACGGGGCGCCGCAGGAAACGCATGGGGTTGCTCATACCCTCTCTCAGGTAGCTAAAATCCTACGGCCTCAGTGTGAAGCAAGCTGCCCCACTGTCTCCCAGAAATGCACTCACCGATTGGTCTTACCAGCGCTTAATTAAGCACAGATTACTTCTTGTGTGAGAAGCCTTCCTGAAGGGTACAGTAAATCATTGTCAGTTTTAAGATATTAAAGATACAGCTACGCAAATAGTTGGGGCCTATCTGGCAGTTACAATGTTACCTTTCAAGACACAGGTGAGCTAAGTACGGTATCCTTTTCAAACAGGAACTTAACCTTCAGTTCCGATCAACTCAAGTATTATTAAAGTGAGTAACGTATTTTACAAAAGCCCTCATGAAACACAAATCTACAGTTTTAGAAAACTCAAAAGACTAATGCCAGAAATATCAATTCAACCTTTAAAACATAGCACTTTGGCACAAGTTGCTCAAACAGAAAGGTACATTAACTCTTTCCATGCTCACCGGTTGCCAGACAAGGAACACTAATTTGCAAGTTCAGAAGACAGGTAAGGTAGTTTTGACAAACTGATCGCTACACGTAGAGAGAAATGTGCTGTGTAAAAATACTACTATATGTGTATGATGCTCAGTCACCAGCAACCAATATTTATTTTGTTTCTCATTGTGAATACAGTTCCTGGAGCTGGCTTAGTTTCAAACGCTATTAGGTAGACAGCATGCAGTGCGGTAGTAAGAAGTCTTACACACAAACTGAAAATATACTGAATTTGATCGTACTATTCTAGGCAGTTCTGCTGCCAAATATGGGCTAATTTATATATAGCAGCCTATTTAATAGTTTGCATTCATACTTCCAAAGCAAGCATACAGGCAGACCACACAGAAATATGGAAATGTTGTCTGATTCACTATATAAAACTGTATTTACTCTTCAAATCCTTGCCTAAGGTTTATGAACATTCAACAGAAATAAAACTGCAAACTACATGGCTAGACTATGGAGCTACTAATATGGCATGCTATTCACTGCATTGTTCAAAGCAGTGTCACCAATACAAGAGAAAAACCTGCGTATTGCTATCGAGTGTTATTCATTCTTCTCCTCTTTTCAGCTGCATGTTAATAGCAGAAATGCTAAAATCAGTCCAAGGAAAAAAAAACACAAGCTCCATGCTCCGTGTCTAGAAACCTCATGCTTTCCTCGATTACTCCTAAAGGATCCCTTTACTGCTGAAGCTCAGCACATACCATCAAATATTTCAAGTGGAACAAATTCATTAACTTGTAAGCACTACTTAACTAACTGAAAGCCAGTGACAGAAACCTAGAGCAGTTAAATCAACTTCAAGCAGGCACTGCACTTCATGTGTTAATACTTGCCATCTGCTCATGGTGCATTTTTTACCACAAGAAAAAAATGTGACTGCTGAGTAAAGGCACTTCAAAAAAGAAAGAGGAGAAACCTGGCCTCACTTAGCCATAAACTATGGGTTTATTTTTTACACACACACAGATGCACACACATACTACTTAGAGAACAGAACCTAAGTAAAACAGCCTTTTCAGCTATTGTTGCTTTATTACAGCTACACTAGGAAATTAAAAAGATAAAGGAAAGTGCCTGTGCATGTTTGGCACTCCAGACAGCAAGAAATTTGCCTCGGGGAGGAGAAACACAGAGTAAAAAGGGGGGGGGGGGAGGGGCGGGGGGACGAGCGACGCAGGGGGTGCGGGTGCGCATTTGTGCACTGGAGGCCCGCGAAAAACTGCTAGTTGCTACGGCTCCTAGAGGCTGCAGCCCAGCGAAGCACCTTTCCTGCAGCACAACCGCTACATCACAGGCGAAACCGCCTACCAGCCACCAAGGGATACCAGCCGATGCAATGCTCCTCCACTTCGTGAAATGGGTAATTCCTCAGCTCGGGTTAGAAATCAACCTAAAGAAAAAAACAAACCCAAAACCTGGACTTCTTATTCCTTTGAAAGCAAAAGGTGCTCAACATTTTACCCCAAAAGCCTGGCCTATGACTTAGAGGATGATAAGACATGTCAAGCTTTGTTTTAGTTTTGGCCAAAGTTATATCTCATTTGACATTCAGTGTCCTTCTAGTAATATTCCAAAAAAGCACTTGACTTTTTCAGTGATGCAAGCGAAAAGAAATTTGCCGTGGAAGCAAGGTTACGAAGGAAGAAATATTTCTAAAGTTATCTGCCCCAAAGTTCTGATTAGTTGGTGCCAGCAAAGAAAAAAATCGTCAGAGGTGCTTTTGTGCCTTTTAAAATTGGCATGTTTTAAATGGGTGCTTATAAAGAAAGCATCTAAATGAACTACTTTGGTGCCTGACATTTACCATTACTAGACCAGATCCACCGAGCAGAAGCAGCAGGGCAATGACTGTTGGTCCTGATCGAGAGCAAGTTCTGCAGCAAGTTTCTGCAGAGACACTGTCTGGAAGAGAAGACGATGTGGTGATGGTCTGTGAGGTGGAATCCTGTTCAATGGAAACTGGACAAAACCTTTTCACAAACGTCACTGCACAGGAACTGTGCGTTGACTCCTAGCTCCAGTATATGCCCCTGATCGAAATAAACTCACTGCATGAAACCTGAAATTGTGATTTCTGCCTAAAGAGTCATCTCATCCATCTCCCATCACTAGTTCTCAGAAGTATTTTACATTCTTAGAACTATAGCGTAGTTTAATTTCTTCGGATGTCTCCTAAGTATATTCCCAATATTACCTACTGTGATTAGCTTTTGGTAAAATGTTACTAACCAGTGGAGTCCTATTCCTGATGACTGGAAACGTTCAAAAAACAAAACCCTGTGGTCATAACCAAAGCGAACAAACGTCAGCCTATGCTGCACACTACTAAAAATGGACAGGAACAGGATATTATTCATGCCACAAATACTTAAACACGAGGCATTCTTTACAGTGCAAAAAAAAAAACCTATCTGGACCCAGATCCCTCCTACTTAAAACTCATGCCTTCTTACTTCCACACTAGATCAATCTTTCCTCTCCACAAAGGAGCACCGCAGGTGTTTCTTGAATTCACTTAGCATTTCCAACATTTCAGTCATTCTCACTTTAATGAAATCCATACGCTTAAGTATTAACGTCCTCAGTTCCTTCCTTACTGCCCTCTTCCTGAGATTTGTATTCATTTTCTGAGTAACCTTCTCTGTACTAAAAAGAAGTTACACAATTTATTAACCTCTTTCATAATTTTGAAGACTCCTGTGAAATTGATTATTTTACCTGGGAAAGTTTTGACACTAGAAAAGAAGATATGCATGTCTCCTACGACAACATTCAAATTCCTTTTTTCAGATGTATATTGAACCAAGACTACCCCTTGTGCAACCACCCACTTAAGAGCTACTTAAAAAATCTGGCAGGCTGCATGTGTTAAATTGAAGGCTCAAAGTGAGGACTGCTTACATTAGGACAGCTGCAGTGATTTTCAACCGCAATTGAGTTCCCTGCTTCTTTTTCTAGCGTCCCTCCCCACCAGAAGAGGAACTGCTAAACTGCCTCAGTTCACAGCCCTGCATATTAAAGAAAATCAAATCTGGCTTCCCTTTACTTCAACATACCAATAACCAGTGGCTCAAGCGCTGCTTCAAGATCCAGCCAAGTTGTAATCTTCATGAGAGGAGCTTGGTACCCATTTCACCTATGGGACTTCTAGTTATGCCTATTTCTCATTACTGCCCTATAATACCAGCATTATTCTAAAGGCGTTTACATTTACGCACGCTCCTGTATGAGTACGAGTCTTTTTTAAAAGAGGTCCTCAAAAAACTCAAGTTAAGAAAGCATGAACAAACGCGAAACAAGGGCAGACATTCAGGTAAACGAGTCACAGAGCAGACGACTAAAATCCACAGGACGACTTCTATATGTAACAGTCTCACAGATGGAAAAGTCAGTGGCATTGAACGTTATACCGATAAAAT